TGTGTGTGTGTGTGTGTGTGTGTGTGTGTGTGTGTGTGAGTGTGTGTGTGTGTGTGTGTGTGTGTGTGTGTGTGTGTGTGTGTGTGTGTGTATGTGTGTGTGTGTGTGTGTGTGTGTGTGTGTGTGTGAGTGTGTGAGTGTGTGTGTGTGTGTGTGTGTGTGTGTGTGTGTGTGTGTGTGTGTGTGAGTGTGTGTGTGTGTGTGTGTGTGTGTGTGTGTGTGTGTGTGTGTGTGTGTGTGTGTGTGTTGTGTGTGTGTGTGTGAGTGTGTGTGTGTGTGTGTGTGTGTGTGTGTGTGTGTGTGTGTGTGTGTGTGTGTGTGTGTGTGTGTGTGTGTGTGTGTGTGTGTGGGTGAGTGGTGAGTGAGTGAGTGAGTGAGTGTGTGTGTGTGTGTGTGTGTGTGTGTGTGTGTGTGTGTGTGTGTGTGTGTGTGTGTGTGTGTGTGTGTGTGTGTGTGTGTGTCTCACCGTATGTGATGTGCGGCCTGCAGGTCTCCGTGGTGCGCTTGTTGACGGTCAGCGTGGGGTCCATGTTTCCTCTGTAGGCGGCGCACGCAGCTGCACGACAACATTTAATATTCAACAGTAATATATGTAATGTATGCAGAGCAGAGACCCTCAGACCTGTTAGACACAGAGGGTCTCAACACACAACTTGATTATCAATATTACAAAGAAGACAACCACAAGGAATCCCTCTTAAAAATACATGTAAATAAATATGAACTGTTATCTCTTCTTTTATAACTTCATAAACGAGTTTCTATACAATGCATTCTCTTATGATTATTAGATTTTGCTCAACACGTTTTTTAATTGTTATTGTCTTATAAAACACTTTGTAAACTAACTAACTATTTAAATAAAGTGTATTATTATTATTACTCTGATCACCGGTGCTATCAGATGTTACCTGTCATGCACTGGCACTTCTCGTCCACACAGAGGCGCTGCAGCTTCTGCTGCTGGTAGGAAAACTGTCTGGTGCATTCACTGCCTGTGGGACAAAAGAAAGATCCCAACATTTAAAATCTATCTCATCATTTTGATAAAAAATGAAATAACAGATGTAAATAAAACTGTAACGTACCAGGTCACAATATTGACATAAGAATATAAAACAAATGACATGTTTGACTGATTAAAAACTACACATTCAAATTATTCTCTAATAAAAGATTTATGTATTTAACAAAAGTGGGTCTAAAGATTTAAGAGGAAACATTTGAACAACCTTTTTTTTGTGTCCGACTGAAGACTAAGAACTACAAACAGCTGATGAGGACAACAAATCCCAGCATGCACAGCAGGTCCTGACTGACCTTTGTCCTGAGGCTCGTAGACGCTGAACAGTGACTTGCTCGCCCCCTCCACCCTGAAGCCCATCCGGATACGGAAACCAACGCACAGGAAGTCCTCCGAGGGAACCTGACAGGAAGTCGTCAACAAATAAAAGATTCATTAGTGACGGTTAATGCTGACTAATCACCTACCACAAAGAGACACAAAGAGACACACAGAGACACACAGAGACACACAGAGACACACTGAGACACAAAGAGACACAGAGAGACACACAAATACACAAAGAGACAGAAAGAGACACAAAGAGACACACAGAGACACACAGAGACACACAGAGACACACAGGGACAAACAGAGACACACAGAGACACACAGGGACACACAGAGACACAAAGACACACAAAGAGACACACACATACACAAAGAGACACACTGAGACACACAGAGACACAAAGAGACACACAGAGACACACTGAGACACAAAGAGACACAAAGACACACAGAGAGACACACAAATACACAAAGAGACAGAAAGAGACACAAAGAGACACACAGAGACACACAGAGACACACAGAGACACACAGGGACAAACAGAGACACACAGAGACACACAGGGACACACAGAGACACAAAGACACACAAAGAGACACACAGAGAGACACACAGAGACACACAGAGACACACAGAGACACACAGAGACACACAGAGACACACAGAGACACACAGGGACACACAGAGACACACAGAGACACA